GAGCACAGTCAGTGATGCAGCTGTAGTCAGTGGTAGGGTCCCCAAAAAAGCTAGGACCGGCCCTGGTCCGTGGGCTCCAAGGAAACTCTCCCTGGCATTGGGATGAGGGAAGGAATCACTTGGCAGACACAGTTGTCCTCTATACAGCAGAAATCCCCCCAAAACCGCAGTACCTCTTCACACCACTGTTGCCTTGACAACGAGGCACAAGCAAAATGTCAATACCTCCTCAGAGATGCGTTCTTTGCACACTTCTTCTGTTTGCAGTGAGCAACTCCTCACCAACACACTGATTCAGAGAACCCAAAAGGTGGTGCAGAACTATCCAATGCTGCTGTAATCACATTCAGCTACTGAGAAAAACTCAATTTAAATCTCTCTCCCAACGGGTTACAAAATAAAACGGCTGAGGTCAGGAATGCTGAAACATGTGAATGTTAAAACAAACTAATGGTAGTAGTCTGCCTATTCTTTATTACTTCAGTTCTAAGTTAATAGGCAAAACAAGGACACCCTCCTTAACCACTATACTAATCTTTTATCTAGCCTACTTGGTTAATGCTATTCATTTTCAAATTGTTTATCTAAGTTGTGTTACAAGCATGGTGAGGTTGTAACAGAATACACAAATAACTGTATTCAATCCGCGCCGTATTTGAAAACTGTAATGAATTAAAATCAATGTTTAACGACGTAATATAAGTTAATATATTGTTAAGCTAATTACTGTTTTATTGTGAAGGCATCTCTGGGCCTGTGGCTTTTATTTTGAAAGGCCGTTCCGGCAATATACTCCGTAATATGAACAGTGAGTTTGACTTCTAGAAACACGGAAAGTTACGATAACAATCGTTCTAATGCATTAAATAAAGTCATGAAAGAGACAAGGAGGGGAAAAGGCGTGTGGAAGTAATCAATGAACTGAAAATGCCACCAATCCTCTATTTTAACGTGATGGCGGACATTGAAAACCGAAGCGGGCATAAGCACCCCTGTCATATCCACATTAATGATTCCTTCTGACTGACAAGCGTTCAAAAACCCTTCTGCTTATCACTTAGGCTACTACTTTTTTATTATTATTCATAACCTAAAAATACAATTGTGATGAATAGCTTGCTCTTTTTCTGATTGAAACAAAGGGTCTACTCTTCTACAGAATCAGAAAGTACAAATACTGACACCCCGGCTCCGGCTGGAGCTCTCAGCCTTTTCAAGAGAAGGGGGCTTCTTTCAACAACTAACAACAAACTATTGGTATACCAAAACATTTACCGACATAAAACAAGGTCTTTACGAATCAACAATGACAACCAACAGACAGAACAATCAACAAACAGATCTCCGAATGTCTCGTCGGCTCCTACTCTGTCTTCTTCCATCATTTTATTTTTTAGGAACCTCAGATCTGCACAAGCCTTTTTTCTTATCTCTCTGTTTGATTCCACTGAGAATCAATCTCTCAGTCTGTTCCCATTGTTCGCGGAAGCTTCCGGGAATTGGAACGCCTAAATCACTCTTTTCAAACTATTCTTCCATAATTGACTTCGTATCTATTATCTGACTAGGTTGATATGTGTTCACTTGTATTTATTAATACACTGGACAAATCTTGTCGTTACTCTTAATGTCCTTATTATATTCTGAATTCAAAGTTTCTAGCGTGAAACAACACAGAATATTGTTACACCCTGTTCGCCACCAGAGGGCAGCAGCTGACCACAAATGAGCTTCCTCTGTCTGATGAAGCTCCCAGCTTCTGCAAACCTTCTCCTGTCACTATTTCTGCTGTCTCTTCTCAATTATTACACAGATTTGACGTAAAATATCACACAGAGTTTATTCCCTTATACATTCTGTCCGGCTTTTTTTGTGCGATGTATTATTTCAACAGATAATTCTGGCTTCTGAGAGCGCTTCAACACCTCTCTTTAGAGATGTGACCCTCACATGGAGATTAAACCCAAGCCACAAAAATCCTTTATCGTCACGTTTAGCCGTTCAGATCAACCCCACAGCAAGAGTTTGCGAAATCCGGTCGTTTCAAATTGATTTTGAAATGTGCGTATTTCCTCTTGAAGACCCACATATAATATCGATTTCAGCTTTTTGTCAGCCTATAGTCTACAGAATTTCCCCAGCGAGTCAGCCGTGCAGGGGACCTCGCTGGTTCACTTTGTTCTTTAGTGAGTTAAGGTACTGGAATGCAATACCAGACTCTTAAACACACTTAGTGCCTTATAGGTCCGGAATGTCCTACCTGACTCTATACAAACACTTTCTTAAATATAACTCGGTGCCTCAGGTCCGGAATGTCCTACCTGACTCTGAGCACCGTCTTACTTTCTACAGTATTGTATTTTTTACCGTGACTAAGAACACTGAGAACGCCGGTGACAACTCTAAAATGTTTGTAGCAAAGCCAAATCACAGATTTTGGTAATCAACAGGTATCTGTTTTACCTTTGTATCATGTAGGACGTCCTGGTTTAGTTGTCAACGGTGTCCAGGTGTCCTCCCCTGGACTGAATTCCGTCCGCTAGCTGTCGGTGGTCCTCCTAGAGACCAGCACTCATCACGTCGGGAGGTCACCAACTTGTAGAAGCAAACACAGTAGTGGTGGCTTAAAGCCCACTTCTGCTCCACGCCGTCCGTTAGATGAGCCTGGTCAGATTAATAAAAGAAGTTCAAAACACCGGCATAAAAGTTATAACAATAATCTGATTTTAATGGTAAAAAACACAATACGAAATACAGAGTGCCCTGTAAACAGAGCACTCCGGGCTCCCCACTCTACTGCTGTGCGATACAGATATCGGGACCAGCCAGTCAGAAACAGGGAGCATTTTGCATTAATAAACAACAGTATATATGGACATATTTGGGGCGGAGAGTCACTTCTTATCTTCCACCGGACTCCACTCCTTTAATTTCCCAAGGAAGGTTTCACACAAACTATTCTTTCCCAAACAATCAAACATTGTACACAGATATATTGGTGCTTGAGATTATATTGGCCCCAGAAAGAACCTTGAAAAGAACCTGTGTGTGTGCTGGTGGGAGGAAGTGTATGTGTGTGTGTGTGCTGGTATCTGGGTCAGTGAGTGTGTGTGTGTGTGTGTGTGTGTGCTGATGAGAGGAGGTGTATGTGTGTGTAGCAGGGTATCTGGGTCATGGAGTGTAAGTAAGGTTTATATATATAGGATTACTTTAAAACAGTCCCAAATAATACATGTTCACTTCAATACAGTTCAAGATAATACCTGTTTACTTTAATACAGTTTGGAACAATATCTGTTTGCTTTAATCCCCCTTTTGATCTCTCCTTCAGAGATCAACTTATACACAGCATTTGAAACATAACCACTGTCATTATTTTCTACTGTCTGTTCCTTAAACTGCAATGTAATGTTTGTGTAGCAATAATACCTACAACATATATCGGGGCCACAGGTTGTTTATCCTTGACAGTCGCACAGTGGGCACACACTGAGTGTTTTCATATTCAGCACATGTGTACACGCTAAACTGCAGACCTCAAGAAGAAATAATACTTTCATTCACTCACGGCAAAAGTTATTTTACTTACTATAAAAACTCACGGTAAAAAAATGCACTCCCTATTCCATTGTCATGAAGGTGGAATCTAACTATATCCAGAATAAGTTTTATTGGATCCAGGCTAGACACATGTTTATTTCTGCTGTAAAGTTGGGCATTTTAACATGGGGGTCGATGGGAATTGCTCCTTTTTGCATCCATCCCCTGTCGGCCACTAGATGAACTGCAGTTTGTGGCACTTCCTTCTGGGCTTCCCGGATCTGTGCTATGAAGGCTGTGGGTGGGCCAGACGTGCAATGTGGGTGGGCCTAGGCCCAACCGGCCCCACCCACAGCTACGCCGCTGGTATAACCCACAATGAAAATGCTTCATATTTTATGGTTTTCTACACTGTAATTTTTTTTTGTAAAAAAGCGGTTATTTTCTGGCGACGGGGGCGCCAGAAAATATCCGTTAAAAAAAGGAAAAAAAGTGTAAAATAAAATACGGAGATAACATGTAAAAAAACAGTAACTTACCTTACCACAAGTAGCCTCTATTACTGTCATTTTACATTAAATATCTTTCTTTTAACATATATTATTTGTTAGAATAGAGTCATAAACCTCTAGAAAACAGAATAATTATCTTTTAAAAATGATAAAGAAAAGCTAAAATACAGAAAATTACTTTTATTATTACAAAAAAGTACCGTATATCTAAGACCATTTACAAGTAAAACACAAAGAAAAGAACGTCATTTTACTTTGCAAAAGCGTTAGTTTACATTAATTATCTCATTTTTTGCCAAAAAAATCTGTAATTTCACAAGAAATCTTCTTATAATTCCATGAAATCTTTTTCTTTTAACATATATTAATTGTTAGAATAGAGTCATTTACCTCTAAAACAACAGAATAAATATGTTTTTAAATGATAATAAAAAGCTTAAAGACAGAAGATTACTGTTGTTCTTTAAAAATATTACTGTAAATCAAAGATCATTTACATGTAAAATACAAAGAAAACATGTAATTTTATTTTCGCAAATGCTTAAGTTTACATTAACTGTCAGATGTTTTGCAGGAAAAATCTGTATTCAAATACATTAATAAACTGTCAAAAATAAATGCATTTACTTTCTCTAAATGTAGGTTTACTGTACTTTGACATTGTGTCAATCTTGTATTTAAAAATATAAATTGGAAAAAAGAACTCCTGAAGTATGATGATATTTGTCTGCATAATACTTTAAAATCTGTGAAATTATGCAGCAAAGAAATGTATCATTAAAACGTTATGCCTTCGGCAACATGTTGAAAATATTTGACAATATAAATAAAAAATGACACCACCACCATTATTTTTTATAATTTCTTATTATTTGCAATGCCGTAACATAATTAAGAACACAATATATACACGTTATTACAATACTTTCTATATATATATAACCCATACATATACACACATACATCCATACACATAAACACAATAATAATAAAGCAGAATAGACCGGCAAAGAAACCTTAAACATTAGCCAACATTTTGTGCCAAACATAACATTATAAACACTAAACTCTCTTAACAGTTATGTATGTGACTATGTGTGTGCGATGTTACTCTCTCCATTCAAAGTCAGCGATGTTGGTGATCAATGAAAGCACCTTCGGATTGACTGACTGCTGTTTCTTTGAAGCTTTCCTCTCCACTTTAGTCCCCTTGTCCGGATTGATTTTGAAAAGGCACCTGTTAAGACAGAAGTACACTTAAATGTAGTGCTACAAACAATAGTTTTTATAATTACAAATGATGTGGATGATACGGCCATTAATTGTCTTCACACTTATACAGCTTGAAGTCAAAGGGCAATACTACTCTTAAATTGACTGTTATGATCATATCTGTACATTTAAAGCACTGGTTTGAAAACAGTTCTGTTATGTAAAGTTGTCACTTGGCATCACTATCACACTGGACAGTATCGCAGCAGGTCTGTAAACAGGAGAAAATACTTTTTGAGTGTGGTAGCTACGAGTGCCATCTTGAGAGGTTTGTGTAACTGGGGCAGATGAGGTGCGTGTCAGCAGCAGAGTGAGCGGTGTAAAAGCATCTTAGTTAACCAAAATAAGTATTAATGTGTTTGTTCACTGCAATAATACCGGGTTTTGGTGCCCATCCCATTTCGGTGCAAGAAATAGTTGCTTCTTCCTCGTCAGATTCCGTTGTCATCAGGTGCTGACATGCACGCAAAGCCTCTATAGACCACACACATACACTAAACCTGCTCCATGGCTGTATTACTGTGCTGTTGATATGAATATGTTAAGGAAATCAACCGCTACCAAGAATCTTGTGTGTTCTTACCGACACCCCAAAGTGTAAGTCACTCCGAGTGAAACCTTCCCCTATACAGTCCTAGCTGAATCCCTATTCAATTGGACTCCTTGAAAACAATTCCTTTTTCCAAATAACTTAATTGGTTTTCTTTTGTTGTCGACAAAAGGCCCTCTTTCGGTCATTTTCATTGAGCTGAAGTAAACATACCACCGATTGGCTAAGAGTGAGTTTGGGCTTTTAGGGAGGAGCTAAAGCACACCACTGCAAAGGAAAGGGGTACGCTGAATTGACATCGCAAAACAGAACTAGAGCATAATGCGAAACAGAATGCAGCGCAATAATCTTTTTATCTCGATTATCTTGTATTGTCAGGAGCACTTATCGTGTGTCAGAAATGTGCACAATCCTCTACTCTGTGGTTTAAGATGGAATGAGTTAGAATAATTACAATTCAAGTCTTACCTCTGCAAGAACTCCAGGGTACCTCCCAGTACTGTGGGATAGCTGATGTTGAGGCAGTAATATAGTGCAAACATCAGTGTCAACAACATTTGGGACACTGCCATTGACGATGGTCTGGTCGACGGCGACCATGAAGTGTCCAGCTGTCAGGGGAGAACTCCCTGTAAAAAAATTACAAAAAAAAGTATAAATGCAAAAAATATTTGGTGCAGATTGTTCATATTTGTTTGTACTGGTGATCATATGGCCAATTGTATTTAAAGAATTGTGAGCTCCTGCAGCTTTCTTTTCTTTCTTAAGTGTTTCTTAATGTTAACAGTAGAAGATGGCACATCTTAAAGGGATAGTTTGGGTGTTTAAAGTGGGGTTGTATAAGGTACTTATCCATAGTCAGTGTCTTACCTAGAGTAGATGATTTCGGTATGCCCCGAGTTTGGAGATGCAGACAGGAGCAACCACATGGAAGCAATGTACTGCTCTGGACAGGGTCAGCAGCAAAACATATTGTAGCCACCTTAAAGAAAGGCCCTCCTAAAAATATCGTACGCTATATTTTGAATATTTTCGTGTGTTTACTTTGCCATAAGACAGCCCTTTTCAGGGAACTGAAGCTGTTGTATGCATCTATGCTCTCGCCAAAGCAACCTTTGGTAAGTTTGTTTTTGTTATTGTGTGACTTTGGTAAGTTCGGATTCACCAAAGTCACACAATAGCACACACAAACTAAGCGACTCCAGTGTTCTGAGAGGTAAAATTATTGTTTTTTGTCTGGTGGTTTGATGAGAACATAGATGGTGACTTCGGTTCTCTGTAAGAAACATAGACAGTATAGCTGTCTCATGGCAAGGTAAACCAGCAAAATGTTCTAAATATATCATACACTTAACTGATTTTTTTTGTGAGCCTTTCTTTTATGTGTCTTAAATAATGTTTTGCTGCCGACCGCATCCACCCCAGTACATTGATTTGCTTCTGTGCGGTAATTCCTGTCTGCATCTCCAAACTGGGGGAATGCCGACCATCATCTACTGTGGGCGTAATACACTGACTATGGATAAGTACCTCATACAACCCCACTTCAAAACATCAGGTCTGAGTGTCTGTATTTAGGCTATACACTTCATTGTAGACTTATTGTAGCTTTAAACTTCCAACATTTGAAAATAAATAATAATAACTCACACCCTCACCAAAACGTATGCCATTTGCATTAACACAGCCAAATGATGGGAACATTTAAAAATATATATATATTCCAAGCCAATGTAGCCATGCACAAGGATTAAAAGGCGGGGGGAATAAATAAGAATCATAAAACACACAACGATGCATGGTGCACTTGACAGGTCATCAACTTCCGATGGCAGACAAGTTTCATCAACTTTCAGGAACATCTTGGCCTGGTCTTCATTGAAATGCCTCAAAAGAAGCATCAGACATCCGGGAAGATCAGGGTCACAACCATAAGCGACCTGTTAAATTATTAAATTACCAAGAAAATCTTTAATTTATAACTAATATTTATTTATACACATTTTTAACTCCGTTACACGTGGCGCATAACACCTCGTGGCCGCAGATTACTCCGGGTCCCAGACCCCCGCCCTCCCCCCCATAACCCAACAATATTTGTATTGCAGATCTACATGAATCACACAAACAATCTATTTTGGATTCAAAACGGCGAAAAGTGTCACGTTTGCATCCCTGTAAAGTACCGTAACGATACCCATCCATTGTCTAGCTAGCTAGCTCAGCTGCTACCTAGCTACCGTAACGTTAGCTAACATTACTTACTTTGTTTTCGGTCGTTAATCAAAATGAACACCATAGCTAGGACTTTGACGTTTGCAATGTTTTAAGTTTTGAGTTGTATGTTTTGTATCCGTTGATAAATAGTTGTAACGTTACCTCTCAAAATGCTGCTTCCTCTCCCGGCTGGCGAAGTGCTGTGTATTCAGAGAGAGCAGCGTGGCATGTGGTTACTGCGTGGTCTGTGGCTTTGCGCATGCTCTGTGCGTACATTAGCGCATGGTCTCTGCCTGGTCTCTGCCTGGTTTCTGCGTGCCTGGGTCACATCGATGGCCTGGGTGCAGCAGATCTCGTCTCTGATTGGCTGCAAATCGATTGCCCTGAAAATGCTTTGATGTAGATGTGTCGTTTGCTGGCTCCTCCAATCTTTGTATTATTTTAAGAATTCGTAACACCACACCATGAACATTCATTTAAAAGTAAAACAAATACGATGGCGGGCAAACTATTTACATTGCAATTATATTTAGTTTGTTCTTTGGATTGTATTTTGTTAATTTACAAAATGACAATGTAACTAGTCGATACATAATAAAACAAACACTGAAGGCCTACGAAAGACACAAGCAAAATATGTTATAAGAATATCTTTATCGTCCATTTATTCTTTTAAATTGAGAATAGTGTACTAATAACTAATGTTGGTGCACATTTATATAAAGTTGATTATGATCAGGAATATCCCATCTGTACTTTGGCGCCCTGTCCCAGGTACAACTTAAGTAGGTATTAATCAATGTGTACATATAGTTTACTATCATTTGTAGTCATGCATAGTAGGCTACTGCCTTCCTGATTGCTTTATTTTTGAGAAACCTATTCTGCACCTACCTTGGTTTTAAGAGAGTCCAATACCCTATGAGACTGTTCAGTCACATAAAACATGCTCAATTAACTTCTTGAAAACACAAGCTCACAATCAAGTCAGATGGGAGATCTACAGAAGCAAAGTGTGATAGACAAAGATGTATTACTGAGATTATTTTTTAAACAAACAGAAAATAAATCTTTGTTGTTCCACGAGGCCGTTTACCTACATTCACAGGTACTTAACCTTCAACTACCTTCTGCCTGAAATCCCTGTGACATTATTGTTGTAACCAACTAGCTGTGTGGGACATTATCACAATACTGTACATATTTAAGCTAAATGACTTTGATTGTAAAAGATCTTTCGCTGTATTACTAGCTTCGTCAACATGCTTTGGTGAAAGCCTATTCTTTCAATATGATGGACTTGAATAGTTGGATATTATTAGACGTCTAAAAGGACAACATTTGGTTGTTTGTTAGTAGAGTTGCTTTACTTTAATTGCAATGCTACTACCAATTTAGCATAGTGGTAGCACTAACTGCTAACAAGGTTTTGATACAGTATTCAGAGGCTGGCTGTAAGTGCCTGCTAGCATGTTCAATGTTTTGGGCTGAATTGTACTAGGCCTAGGGGAAGATGCTAATGTTATTTAACTTCTAGATCCTTTCATTTTTCACTTAAAGTGAAACTCAATAATTGTTTTGCATGCTGTCCGCCAATCACTCTGTTTTTTAAATATTGAGCTAAGTCACACATTTTAGAACATTGCTACATTTCATAAAGCTACTTTCCTAACAAACGCGGTGCAGTTGTAGCAATCGCTACGAGAATGCACTCTGTGTTAGCTGCACAAGGCACTTTGCGTATAGCTTCACGTGTGAATGATGTCAGAAATGTACACAGCTTTTTCTTCTGTTGAAAGAGATTAGCAGCTCAATGTTTCTTGGGTTGTGAACGCACAACAGTTGGTTGTTTGTTAGTAGAGTTGCTTTACTGTAATTGCAATACTAATACCAATTTAGCAGGTAGCTAACTGCTAACAAGGTTTTGATTTTCAGAGTAGATTGGCTGTAAGTGCTTGCTAGCATGTTCAATGTGATGAGCTTATGCTAGGGTTATAAGGCCTAGGGGAAGATGCTAATGTTATTTAACTTCCAGATCCTTTCATTTTTCGCTTACGGTGAAACTCAATATGTTTTTTACATACTGTATGTATATGCTCTGTGTGTTTGTCCATGTACATATCCTCCCTGTGTGTGTAATGTGTGTAAACACAACAGAGTGGGGAAAGACATTTCCCTCTGAGGGATGAATACATTATATCTCCTTCTTCTTCTTCTTCTTCTTCTTCTTCTTCTTCTCTCTTCTTCTCTTCTTCTATTCTTCTGCTTCTTCACACTCTTCTTCTTCTTCTTCTTCTTCTTCTTCTTCTTCTTCTGTATTCTTCTCTTCTTCTTCTTCTTCTTCTTCTTCTTCTTCTTCTTCTTCTTCTTCTTCTTCTTCTTCTTCTTCTTCTACTGATAAATCATAAGGAATGGCCACATTAGGTTTGCCTGCAGTGAATGCTAACACCTATGAGCTTGTAGAAGTATCATGGCATAGCCAGATGTCTCTCATAACCCACAGTCTATGGCTGTTACTGGTGGGAATAGCATAATTGTATATCTGAATTGTGCTCGGAAATTTGCACCCAACATGTTAATAACCGTTTTTTTTAACTCTATGGTTGTACACAGTTGTTATAACATGAAATTCACATATTTAACAATTAAATCTTCAAATTAATACAAATGTAGCAATAAAGTGAAAGTCAAAATGTGTTAAAATTTAGTTTTTATTTGACTATAATAGGATAGTCAATACCTGTGTTTTTTCAGTTTATCAAGTTGTGGTTAAATTAAGCAAAATTACAAAATATTTCTTTCTTTACATTTTATAAATGATTATTAACAGTATATTTTATGTATTTGACAGTGATATATAGCCAAAACAAAAGTATGTTTTTGTAAAATTACAGAAAATACAGCTAATTTTGCCAACAGAAAATCCTTTATTTTTACGGTTAGTTTCTTTAAATTCACATTTAAAAACTGCTAAAAAAACAGATAAATAATGTATTCCATTTGTACAGTTTTTTTTTTGTTAAAATACATGACACATTTCAATAAACGGTTTATTCTTGTAAATTGAATATGATTTCCTGTAATTATGAAATACAATAAAAAAACTGTCATTTTTTCTGGGGAAAAACTGTAAAAAAACATTTTTTTTTACAGTGTATATTTACAGTATAAACAAAACACAAGTGGTTTGTATGGTTTATGCGTGTCACTGATAAGAAAGAGGAGACAGTGTCTTCACTCACAGCCGGCTGTGCACAGGGAGGGGCTCCTGACTTGTTGGAGAAATACTATGGCCCCAAAAATGTGTTTATGCCATAGCCATAGAATAGGACATGTCCCGTCCTGCACATCAGAGGCCATGCCCAGTTTCCACAAATATGGGCATGAAGGAGTTGTCTTTGGGTTTTTTCTGTCCCTGTTTTGGGCATAAAATCACTGGCTGAGAGGGAGAACGCGAGAGAGGGGTTTTTTCCCCCTGGTATGCTCTCTCCCGGTAAGCTCTCTCCCTGCAGAGCTGGGTTTTCCTCTGTAAGGTTCTCTCAAACTTGGTAAATATCTCTCGAATTGATTTGTTGAAAGCTTAGCACCACCTATGAGGAAATTCCTCCGAATTCATGCGGGACTAGGTGTGGATATGAATTGGACCCCGCCAACATTTCATGCGGGACTAGGTGTGGATATGAATTGATGTGATTTGATTTGTTGAATGAAAGTTTGAATGTGGTTTTTATCACCGACCTTTTATGAGGAGATGCCTCTAAATTCTGTCGGGAGATTTTAACTGAATTGGGCAGTTACAATTTAGTGTAAGACTGTGAATTGCGGTTTCATATTAGTAATTGACCACAGCAGGAAATATTCTGTATGATTGTCATGTTGTAACGAGAGAAGGTAAAAACCCTGTACAAGTGTGGGCCTATTTTTCTTCAAATAAACTGATCCCACCTTTTGGATTGGGACAACTTAAAAGACATCTGCACTGTCCTCTCCTGCTTAAAAGGCAGTGGCGAACCGTGGCCATCACAACTGGACCTTCTGTAGACACACCCCCCCCCCCCCGGCCGCCCCTCCCCCCCCCCCTCCGCGGCATTATAATGTCCGTCTTTTCATGAAAAGGGTACTCACAACAATTCGGCAACAACTTCATCTTCACCTGTTGCACTTGTCATTTCAACGTTAAAAACAATAAAATGGCATGAATTGCTTCGTCGCATTCATCTAGATCAGGGGTTCTCAAAGTTTTGATGAGTGAGGGCCAATTTAGGTACCCAATATTGGATTGAGGGCCGCCCAAGAAAAAACGGAACACAAAATAATTCCAAAACAAATCCTTTCTTTATTGTACTAACCAATTATACATACAGTATACATTAAGAACTTGCAGAGGACACAAAGTTGGGTTATCTACAGACAGTGACTAGCTAAAATCGCTAGCTAACTCCCGTTTCTGATTCTGATAACTTACAACAGATTTTCCGCTTAACCGCAACTCGCGAGATGCCTAGTGCCATGCAACCAGTAGTCTAGCAAACTTTCCACAAGCTGTCATTCATAATTTAGGAATGACAACCCAGGGGGCGCAGTTTTACCATTCTTAAATTCCATTCTAATTCTTACTAGATACGAACCATGGAGGATTAAAATATAACGCATGCATTTCAGAGTGTCACATTAATTATCGCGGGCCGCCAGAAACATTTCCAAGGGCCGCCATTGGCCCGCGGGCCGCACTTTGAGAACCCCTGATCTAGATCCTCTGTCTCGAGCCAGTTATGGGACGGGTGGCGCAGTGGTCTGTGCATCCGATCATCAGATCAAGGGGGAGTGCTGGGGAACTCCAGTTCGAAACCCGCTCCTGCCGCCACTGCGTCAGGCCGTTGTGTCCTTGGGCAAGACACTTCACCCGGATTTGCACCTGTGGGTAATGTCCACAGTACATGTATAATACCAATGTGTACTTGTAAAAGCGCCTCGATGACTTCGAGGCGTGAAGATGGACGGTGTGGCGCAGTGCGCTGTGCAATGATCATCAGATCAAGGGGTGAAACCCGCCGCTGCTGCGTCTGTAAGCCGGTGTGTCCTTGGGCAAGACACTTCACCTGAACTTGCTCCTGTGGGTATTGTCCACAGTATCTGACCATTGCATGTATCATATATGTGTAATGTGTGTATATGTAAAGCGCTTTGAGTCATTGATAAAGCGCTATAATAAATGTAAGGA